TCCTTGGCTTTCCTCCTAGGTCCTCGAGCAAGTCGATTCGATATTGGATATTTAGCTAATTTCCTTATAGAATAACTTCTTGCTAAAGAAATGCTAACTAGTTAGCCATGATCTGAGCTAGGAACGGACGTCTGGAGCAGGCTCCAGCGGACAGTTTTGCTGCATTAGCAAAGTTGTTGACTCGCTAATGTGACTTTTAGTTCATAAGTAAATTCATCTTAATACATGTGTACAACTATAATAATAATAATAATAATGCATTTTATTTATATAGCGCTTTTCACAACTCAAAGACGCTTTACAGTATGAGGGAGGGTAGACAAACAAGGACAGGCACACAAGTAAGTAAAAAATAAAAAGGCAGTCAAGAGGAAGTTGATTGAGAGGGGGGGGGCTTATGGGTAGACAGAGTTGAAAAGATGTGTTTTGAGGCGGGACTGAAAGACTGTGAGGGACTCAGAGTCACGGAGATCTTGGGGGAGGGGATTCCAGAGCCTAGGAGCTGCCACTGAGAAGGCTCTGTCCCCAAAGCTGCAGAGTGTGGATGTGGGAATGGATAGGAGTCCGGCTGCGGTGGATCTGAGGGACCGTGGGGGTTGATAAGGAGTGAGAAGGTTTGTGAGATAAGGGGGGCCAGATGGTGGAGGGCTTTGTAGGTGAGGACCAGAACTTTGTAGTTGATGCGATGGGAGACAGGAAGCCGATGGAGGTCTTTGAGGACTGGGGTGATGTGATGCCATGATTTGGTATGCGTGAGGAGACGTGCAGCTGCATTTTGAACCCGTTGGAGTCTGTTGAGGGATGTAGTGCTGATGCCGTAAAGAAGTGAGTTGCAGTAGTCGAGGCGGGAGGAAATGATGGCATGGATTAGTCGTTCGGCTGCGGGGCGGGTGAGAGAGGGTAGGATCTTTGCAATATTGCGGAGGTGGAAAAATTAGGTTTTGACTGTTTGGCGGATGTGAGGTTCGAGGGAGAGGTCAAAGATTACGCCAAGGTTGCGTGCCTGATTGGAGGGGGAAACAATGGTCCCATCGATGGTGAGTGTTATGTTAGTGACCTTGCTGAGGGTGGATTTGGAGCCGATTAGGAGGAGTTCTGTTTTGTTGCTGTTCAGTTTGAGGAGGTTATGTTGCATCCAAGTTTTAATAGCTGTCTTTATAAAGGCAGCTATGTATAAGTGATTTAAAGCTACATTTAGAATTTGTATTCTTTCCATTACCGTCAGACAGCCCTTTCAGGCGGGGACCTGAAGCAGTTACCCATGCTCTCTTTAAAGCCACTAGACTCCTTAATTTACCTTTCATAACACTTACGTTGCTTGTCCACTGGTGCCCTGATTGGGTTTGTTTGTTGGTGTTATTGTGGGATTTTTGTCAATCCGAACTAACCGAAACACCAAAGTTAAACAATCACAAGATCTAATTGAGCAATCAAGGCAGCAGTAGACACTGTCACAGGTATCTCCTACACTTGAATGGGAATACATCTGACTTAATCATTGTAAACGGTTCTGTGTTCTCCAGGTGTGTCTCCATCCCAAACACTTGAGCATGAATAAGTAATATCATTAAGAAGTAGAAGTCCAAAATGGTTATTGTAGTGCGAGGATAAGCATTGATATAACTAGCAAGGATTATGCATTGTTGGGTACCATGCGAGCGAAAATCACAACTATTACAGAACATAAACATTTTTTCCAAAAGTCGTATTACATGTATTTATTTGATAAAGCTTGGCTAAGTGTATTTCTTTTATTGCAGCTTCTTCAGGAAAACATTGTTGACTATGTGGATATTGAGCTGAATAAGCTTATGAGGTTTCTGACTAATGACCCAGAAGGCCAAGGTGAGTACGAGGAAGGTCTAAATGCGAAAGAGAAAGCGCAGAGAAGAGGCAGCAGAGAGGGATTCCTGAAGATCACATTGGACTTCCTGAGAAGAATGAATCAAGAGGAACTGGCAGACTCACTACAGGACAGTAAGAGGCTTTTAATACATTTGGAAATCATAGATTTAAAAGTCTACAGTTTACTGTAAATATGCCGTTTAACACCTGGCTACATCAACTTAGCCCATGTAAGGTTGCGTTCACACCGGACATGAAGCGAAGAAGCTTCATGTCCTTTTTTTGTCATATCCCTTTAGGGCAGGGGTGGCCAACCCGCGGCTCTCGAGCCGCATGCGGCTCTTTGCCTAGTTTCATGCGGCTCTTCAGTTCATATCGAATTTTATATGTGTGAGTTTGGGGGAGAGACACTGACTCCTGACTAGTGTTGAACGGTGTACCAATACTTGAAAGGTACCGCAATACCTTGCCGTTAAAAACGTTACGATTCCTCCGTTTCATTAGTATCGGTACTTTAAGAATGACGGAGAAAAGTACTCCGGTGAGAAAGCGCTGTTTTAATAAGAGCCGTGTGTGTTCAGCGCTCTGCTTCCACTCCCTGCACTGCAGCCGTGCCTGCAGCCCCTCCCTTCTCAAGCACGCTCTAAGTCCCTCCCCTCTCTCATGCACGCGCTAGCTGCCAGAGCATGTGAGAAAACGAGAAGCATGGCTGCAAGTGGGAGTGCAACTGCCGCTGCGCCTCGGCCTGTCTGTGAGACATGTATTAATTTTATTTAATACGAATTCTTGTCATTTATTTTATTTATTGTTCTCATTGTTTAAAAGTTTGTGTTATGGTTCTGGTGTGAAATAAAGCACAATAATTACATTTAAGACTGTTTCCCTTTTTTTAAGAAAAGTATCGAAAAAGAATCGGAATCGCAATTCTTGACTTGGTATCGAAACCAAAATGTTGGTACCGTGACAACACTAGCTACTCCTGACAGTTAAACCTGATATTTAGTAGGTCTGTTAAGTATCGAATGCTGATCATTCTGACGTAATTTGGCCGGTCAAAGTTGTTTGGGCTCGGATAAAATCGCTCCGTTACTTTCGTCCTGTGTTACTTTCGTCCCGGCTCTACGTGTGTATGTGTGGTGTCATGTGTCAGTATGAGAGGATGCCAGCGCGTCTAATTTTGATGTGGCCCAAGAGCCAATCACAATAATACCTGCGATGCGGTGAACCAATCACCTTTGAGGGGGGGAAAACCTATCGTTGATTAAACACTATCCAGTGTTTCCCCTACCATTGTCTTGGAGGGGCGCTGCGCCCCGCCAACGGAGCCCCGCGCCCCCCCCTGAAATTCAAGGTGTTTAAAAAATATATATAATTTTTTTTTAAATATATCGCACCAAATTGCAAATAATCTATAACTACTGTCACTTTTCACATTGAACATGTGCTCTTTTATTAAATAAACTAAACGCTTTCATTTGAAGTTGTGAGTTTAGTGTTTTTGACCCTAAGAAACACTGATGCATTAATCAATAACAATAATCCACAGCTCCTCTCTCTGCTCCAGAGGATTTAAAAAATATATATCCCAATGCCACAAAAATGCATCAGTGACGTGGTTGAAATCTTGTCTCCAGAAAACAAAAAACTGAAACAAGCGGTATCAGTGTGTTTGATGTGGCTCTTTGCAGTAACATAGAAAAAATGTGGCTCTTAACCTCTGACTGGTTGGCCACCCCTGCTTTAGGGGATCCTTATATTTAAGTTGACAAATGTGAACATTTATTTGATTGATTTAACATTTCCAACGGTTTTTACATCAGAGTATGATGGTTGTTCAGTGAAATATTCTTAAGAGAAACTGATAAATGATTCATGGACAACGTTTGTCTATATTTAATAAAGATATAAAGAAAGTCAATATACAAGTGAAATGGATCTCAAATGCAGGAACAGAGCAGCTTCATCCTCAGAGGATAGAGAAGTTCTGCTCTCAGAACACAGCCTCACTATAAAATAGAGAATAGCCACCCTTAAATTCCCTTAGGCATCATCTAAACACCCCATCATTAAACCATAAACCCCACTCGTCCTTAACCCATTTGTAAATCCACCTTTTACTTCCTTTGCCCTCCTGAAATGTAAATATTTAACATATGTCTCTGTTAAACACATACAAGACTAAAGATACAATTTAACAGTGTAAAAGGCAATCAGAGTATAAGAATACATGTTTTAAATGATTATATGATAATTTGACACGACATATGACGGTTGAGACTCTGTATACCCTGACTGCAGCTTAACATTAACTTGGATGTAATCGCAGCAGCAACAATCCGCTGGGCTTCGAATCTCACAAGAGCTACATATTGCAATCAACGTATCAGAATCTCAAAGTAGACCTGTGCACTATAATGTAATCTAACACACTATTTGTCTTTGTCTTTTCATTGTAGAAGCTCTTGCTGCAGTGGGCCACCGTAAACCCAAATCTAAACTAAACAAGACCGGGCGTATGTTTGCTAGAACAATGAGATCCAATGTTTAAGTGACAGTGACTGACCTCACCTCTGAAGACAGAACATGGAGGACTTTGGATCTCTGCTCACACAAACTATCAGTTGAACATGAAAACGGTTACAAGCTCTGAACAGAAACAGAACTTTTTTATTATTCTTCTTTTTTATTATTATGCTTCTGAAGCCCTTAAGCGTTACAAATAAAACAAGGAGGACCAATGAAAAGATGCAGAGATGTCGAAAAAGTGCAAAAAACAACAGTAAAAATAAGTGATAAAAAAGGACAAGACCGGATCTGAAAAATATGACAGTCAAAAAAATGTAAAGAAAATAAATTGCAGGCGGTGTAGAAAAAAGAGAAAATTAAATGTACACAAAACATTTTGCTGACATGGGAAATTATGCATTGAAAAAACTATTATTTGCCATTTACCTCTCATCCACTTATGTCAACCAAGAGCCTGAACAAAAATTACTTTTTCCAATTTTCATTGCTCATTTTGGTTTGTGAATACGTGATGCACTGCCGCCAGTGTATATCCCATTCCTAATCATATTTTCGAGCCTTTAAACTACTCACACGCAAGCCAAATTAAATGTCGACGCTAAAGAGTAGAGATTAGGATTTTCTGTCTTTGAGTGGGATATATATATATGTATCATGAATACAATCGTTTTGTGTATACAACAAACTGAATGATAACGGCTAATACCTGCAACCATAATGCACTTTCATTTAAGTGCACTTTCATTTGAAAAAGTGACGTTTTAAAATACATAATCGTATAAACCATTAAACAGTGAAACATCAGGCAAACAGAATTTTAAATGTTGAATCATTGTAATATTGCATTGTATGCCAATTTAGACAAAACATGGCATGCAGGACTTAGTTAGGACACAGGCTGAAATATAGTATCATCATAATAATAAGCTCAACATTTTGGATTGGATTATTGTATTATTTGAGTCAAAGTGAAGAAGTAACCAAATCAGATTTTGTTTTTTAATGAATTACAATTTCATGGTTATATGTTGTATCTTTATTGCTATAAGATGAGTAACACATGCGTCACTTCCGGGGAAAAAGTACGGCTCCGCCCACTTTTGGGGGAAAACAAAGCTGTCATTTGAACGGCGGTCAATACACATTCTGAAGGTTTTGCCAATCCGATCAGAAATTTAAGAAAACCGTGGATTTGTGGATCTTCAAAGAGTCCGATTACGATGGCCAGTCAGGCAAACAATCACATTCAATCATAGGAAATCGACGATTATTATAAAAAAATAATGACCATAGGGGCACTGAGATTTGTGGAGTCTATTTTTATATAACATTACAAGACTGATTCTTATTATTACATTATATGCTTATTGTGCTCATGAGATTGCTATGACTATAGAATAAATAGACACAATCACTAATCCCAGGTTCTGATGGGGAATAGTCAGAAGAAAGTTTTAGCTTGCAATAGAAAGTAGCAGACGCCAGATGCAGGCACTGTAGAAACAATTGAGTTATTGAGGCTATGGCCTTGGCCGCCTGGGTTAGCTCCGCGCCCACGCATAGCTGGGAATCAGTATAACCAAGATTACACTTTTCTGTAGAAGCTTCATTAAAACAAATTACGTATGATGGCGCCAGAGTAGGGAGGGACTTCCACAGGCCGGCCGAATGCTGATTGGAGGATCGTGTTGCCAAGAGACTTTATCTGAGTCTGCGCACCAACCAAAGAGAACCAAGTCTAAACCGCGGTATCTCTTCAGCTAGTCCTGACCAATCATAAATGTACGGGCAACGCCCTGTGTAATAAAATGTATTGTCGCACGAGGTTCGAGGCTCTTGACGGATTTGGTGGTTACAGATTACAGCTTTGCTGCCTGTGATTCCCAAAGACGTGATAATATATATCTTTTGCTCTCTTTACAATAAATAGTTAAACTTAGAAGTTGTCTGTCTTTTCTGGAATTCTGAACTCAACAGCTGCCATCCCCACCATACGTCATCTCACATCATTCACAGCTGATTGACTGTAAGTACGTGTGCCGCGAAAAGTGTGGTGTGTGAAGAGGAGACGAGAGAGCTGCAGTGACGCATCCTAAAACCAGGAAGTAAGCTGCGCATGGCTTCCCTCGACAAAAAAGCAATGATATTTCTCCATAGGATTTTAGAAAATAGCTCAAAATAAGATCTGTGGGAAACGTAGCTGTTAGATAAATGCACGTTTTGTTCAGCCGGATAATATCCACATGTCTACCCTACTTTTATAATTTTCGAATCATAAATCTAATCGATTAGATTTATGATAGACTTTTGAAACTAGAGGAACATAAGGAGGACTTTTACAAAAAAGTAATAGAGATGTTTGTCCAGAAGGATAGGCAAATGGACTTCATCTTCATGTCAAGGTAAGAACACCATTTTATTGAAAATGGGATCTTACTAAGAGAGAACAATTCAATATTTAAATGATAACATTACATTTTTTGGGTATCCTTTTGTTGAACTGACTGTTTAAAATTAATTGAAGCATCAGACTAAAGAGGCTTTTGAAAATAATATTATATTTTGATTTAGGTCAAGATATAATATTTGTAAACCTGAAGTCAGTGCCAGAGCCTCAGCAGCCATGAACCTCACTGCACAAGCTTATATATAGACATCTAAGTTGTTTGTGCTCCACCACTTTTGTACATATAAAAACGCCACTGGCTGTATATAAGATTCAAGATTCAAAGGGTTTATTGTCATATCAGCTACAGAGTAGAAATGGCAATGAAATTCTTCTGACCTGAGCTCCTCCAACAATGCAACATACAGTTGCAAGAAAAAGTATGTGAACCCTTTGGAATTACCTGGATTTCTGCATAAGTTGGTCGGAGGAAGCCACTGCTGTGAAAAAACATTGCTGCACGTTTGAAGTTTGCAAAAGAGCACCTGGATGTTCCACAGCACTACTGGCAAAATATTCTGTGGACAGATGAAACCAAAGTTGAGTTGTTTGGAAGGAACACACAACGCTATGTGTGGAGAAAACAAGGCACAGCACACCAACATCAAAACCTCATCCCAACTGTGAAGTATGGTGGACGGAGCGTCATGGTTTGGGGCTGCTTTGCTGCCTCAGGGCCTGGACAGATTGCCATCATCGACGGAAAAATGAATTCTCAAGTTTATCAAGACATTTTGCTGGAGAACTTAAGGCCATCTGTCCACCCATTGAAGCTCAACAGAAGATGGGTGATGCAACAGGACAACGACCCAAAGCACAGAAGTAAATCAACAACAGAATGGCTTCAACAGAAGAAAATACGCCTTCTGGAGTGGCCCAGTCAGAGTCCTGACCTCAACCCAATTGAGATGCTGTGGCATGACCTCAAGAGAGCGATTCACACCAGACATCCCAAGAATACTGAAACAGTTTTGTAAAGAGGAATGGTCCAAAATTCCTCCTGACCGTTGTGCAGGTCTGATATGCAACTATAGGAAACGTTATTAAATCCAAGGGTTCACATACTTTTTCCACCCTGCACTGTGAATGTTTACATGGTGTGTTCAATAAAAACATGAAAACATATAATTGTTTGTGTGGTTTTAGCTTAAGCAGACTGTGTTTGTCTATTTTTGTGACTTAGATGAAGATCAGAACTAATTTATGCAGAAATCCAGGTAGTTCCAAAGGGTTCACATACTTGTTCTTGCATAGTGCAAGAAGTCTATATACATGTAAATAGAATATGATATGTACAAGAACAGAATATGAAATTAAATAATGTTCATTAAGACTAAATTAAATATGGTTTATTGCGATGATAACTATTGATATAAATAAGTAGATTGAGTAAGAAGAGTAATTAACACAAGAAGTCTCCTCGAACCCAAAACATCAGTTCATCATCGTTTGATTCAGAAATATAACTCACACTGGACCAGATCTGCCGTCACATGAAGCTTATATTCAACATTGTTTACTCAAGTAAAAGTACAATGTTGTTGTTTATATTTCACATCATTAATCCAAATCTGTAAAGTAACTAAATGTATTAAATACATGTAGTGGAGGAAAAGTACAAAGTATCAAAACTCACACAAAGTACTTGAGTAAATCTGTAGTTACTTTACACCTGAATGGATGGACTGATGGACGATGCTTGAAAACAGGAAGCTTTTCATATATCTTGTAAGTTGTTACAGTTCAATGGTAGAGAGGAGTGTGAGTGTGAGCATATATTAAATCAAATGAATAGATGATATGAACTGATGTTACTGAAGGCTCTTACCTTCTCCTTTCTCTCTGTTGCCGGATCACCAGCCGGATCACCAGCCGGATCACCAGCCGGAGAACCACAGCGACCAGGATCAGCTGTTTCATTTTAACATCAGAGGAGAACTGGGGAGAAAAGATAACAATAAAGAAACATGAGCTGATTAAAAGAATAACAACATGTGTTCCTGTTAGCCACTGCCTTTTGAATTTCATACATTTTTCCTCTCGTTTTAAAACCTGCTTTAGATTTAAAGGCATCCTCGAATGAATGTAATGTATTTTCATGTGATTTGTAAAATGATTTATTTTGATTTTTTGCCCGATTGAATTCCCCTTTTTACTAATCTTGAACATCAGCTGGAGAGGACTCTTTAAAGTAGAGACACTATATACTGATATACACCTGAACATCATCAGGAGAGGACTCTTTAAAGTAGAGACACTACATACTGATATATACCTGAACATCAGCAGGAGAGGACTCTTTAAAGTAGAGACACTATATACTGATATACACCTGAACATCAGCAGGAGAGGACTCTTTAAAGTAGAGACGCTACATACTGATATACACCTGAACATCAGCAGGAGAGGACTCTTTAAAGTAGAGACGCTACATACTGATATACACCTGAACATCAGCAGGAGAGGACTCTTTAAAGTAGAGACACTACATACTGATATACACCTGAACATCAGCAGGAGAGGACTCTTTAAAGTAGAGACACTACATACTGATATACACCTGAACATCAGCAAGGAGAGGACTCTTTAAAAGTAGAGACACTACATACTGATTATACACCTGAACATCAGCAGAGAGGACTCTTTAAAGTAGAGACACTACATACTGATATACACCTGAACATCAGCAGGAGAGGACTCTTTAAAGTAGAGACACTACATACTGATATACACCTGAACATCAGCAGGAGAGGACTCTTTAAAGTAGAGACACTACATACTGGTATACACCTGAACATCAGCAGGAGAGGACTCTTTAAAGTAGAGACACTACATACTGATATACACCTGAACATCAGCAGGAGAGGACTCTTTAAAGTAGAGACACTACATACTGATATACACCTGAACATCAGCAGGAGAGGACTCTTTAAAGTAGAGACACTACATACTGATATACACCTGACATTCAGCAGGAGAGGACTCTTTAAAGTAGAGACACTACATACTGATATACACCTGAGCATCAGCAGGAGAGGACTCTTTAAAGTAGAGACACTACATACTGATATACACTGAACATCAGCAGGAGAGACTCTTTAAAGCTAGAGACACTACATACTGATATACACCTGAACATCAGCAGGAGAGGACTCTTTAAAGTAGAGACACTACATACTGATATACACCTGAACATCAGCAGGAGAGGACTCTTTAAAGTAGAGACACTACATACTGATATACACCTGAACATCAGCAGGAGAGGACTCTTTAAAGTAGAGACACTACATACTGATATACACCTGAACACCAGCAGGAGAGGACTCTTTAAAGTAGAGACACTACATACTGATATACACCTGAACATCAGCAGGAGAGGACTCTTTAAAGTAGAGACACTACATACTGATATACACCTGAACATCAGCAGGAGAGGACTCTTTAAAGCAGAGACACTACATACTGATATACACCTGAACATCAGCAGGAGAGGACTCTTTAAAGTAGAGACAATATATACTGGTATACACCTGAACATCAGCAGGAGAGGACTCTTTAAAGTAGAGACACTACATACTGATATACACCTGAACATCAGCAGGAAAGGACTCTTTAAAGTAGAGACACTACATACTGATATACACCTGAACATCAGCAGGAGAGGACTCTTTAAAGTACAGACACTACATACTGATATACACCTGAACATCAGCAGGAGAGGACTCTTTAAAGTAGAGACACTACATACTGATATACACCTGAACATCAGCAGGAGAGGACTCTTTAAAGTAGAGACACTACATACTGATATACACCTGAACTTCAGCAAGAGAGGACTCTTTAAAGTAGAGACACTACATACTGATATACACCTGAACATCAGCAGGAGAGGACTCTTTAAAGCAGAGACACTACATACTGATATACACCTGAACATCAGCAGGAGAGGACTCTTTAAAGTAGAGACACTATATACTGATATACACCTGAACATCATTAGGTGAGGACTCTTTAAAGTAGAGACACTACATACTGATATACACCTGAACATCAGCAGGAAAGGACTCTTTAAAGTAGAGACACTACATACTGATATACACCTGAACATCAGCAGGAGAGGACTCTTTAAAGTACAGACACTACATACTGATATACACCTGAACATCAGCAGGAGAGGACTCTTTAAAGTAGAGACACTACATACTGATATACACCTGAACATCAGCTGGAGAGGACTCTTTAAAGTAGAGACACTACATACTGATATACACCTGAACATCAGCAGGAGAGGACTCTTTAAAGTAGAGACACTACATACTGATATACACCTGAACATCAGCAGGAGAGCACTCTTTAAAGTAGAGACACTACATACTGATATACACCTGAACATCAGCAGGAGAGGACTGTTTAAAGTAGAGACACTACATACTGGTATACACCTGAACATCAGCAGGAGAGGACTCTTTAAAGTACAGACACTACATACTGAT